CTATCTATACTTAAATACATGGCTTGAATACGATGTTTTATGTCGAATCATATTTTAGTTTCGATCGTTTCCATAGAATTCAAAAAACACTTGCATACATTTAGAAAAATAGGAATAAGGCGTTATATGAACGAATATATAGAACATTATTCGTTCATGAGATCAAACATGATTTCTCAAAGAAATCATTATTATCCGAGTAACTTATCCAGAATACAGAATATGAGAAAGAGTACCTCTATGTTCAGGATTTATTTTTGGAAATAAATGATATTCATTTCAATAATGTTGTTTGACAGTGCATGAAGTAGTTGATTGGTTTCGTTACATTTTAATATTCTCGGTTTCATTCATTGATTTTAGACTAAAGTTTTAGTTTTGTCATAACACACTGCACATACTATACTTTCTTTTAAGTCTACTCTATACGTATGACTGAAGAAGGACAAAGTGATGGCGTATATTGAAAATCTGATCGAGATAATTTTTATGTTTCTAGTAAATAAGTAAATGATATTTATTCTCAGACATGATACTGGTGACTTTGTAAGTTTGATATGATCCCTACAATCGTTTCACATGTAAATAATAAAATAGTAAAAATACAAATTTGATTTTATTTTGCAATCGACTCTGATTTATTCTTATCCTATTGCTAGACTATGTTATTCATATTATTCTCAGTTATGTTTATTCTCTTTTGAGGTATCATGCATCTTATCAATAGTTAATTGCGTTGAAATAAAATTCTGTTTATTTCGAAGAATCATTTAATTGAAAACAGCTTGAATAATTTCAAGAACGAAATTTCACACCTTTTACAAAACTATTCATATGATATGTTTATAAAAGATGCTCAGCTCTGCTAAACTATTCTATGGAGGAACAATGAGACATTCTACAGTAGTATTTAACTGTTTATCAGGAACAATATGAAAATCCTATCGAAGAATTTTTAAAAAATGAACGACGTTTAGTAAGGTGATCGAGTCTTGTCGACATCTATCTATGGACATTATGCTCTTTTTTTTTAAATTTCACATTCGGATCTAGTATTGTATTATGTTGAATTGTAATTATTTATTTTTATTCATGAAACAGGTCAGACTAACCATTTAAAATAGACTCATCGTCTAATATATATATATGCTTCATACTAATACTAACTCCAGATTTGGTATTATAACCAACAACTGAATCGCCAATGAATTGTTTGAAATTTTTCTGAAAGAAATTTCTGTTATCGAAAACATCACTAATGATCCACTCAATGGATCTCATTCAGAAATATGCTCAATTGGAACTTTTTTGATTCATACAGTTTCATCATCTAATTTGACAATATTTCGAATCAAATTACACATTTGTCTTGAAAATTCTAAATAGATTTGGTTGAAATCTGAAAGTCATGAACTCGAGGCTTTGTCTTTTCAGTAAGCTCTATTGAAAATGTGCTTCTAAAAAACTAGAATTTTTTAGAAGAATAATTTTTTTTTACTTTGTAGAAGACAAGAAAAAAATGTTTTTTATTTATTTTCTCAATTTAGAGCAACGTAGATAGATATTCTATTATTTCTGTTTATGGATTCATGGAAGAGGAAAAGTATGATATGGGCGCAAAATTTTGATTTAGTCATAAATAAATACTCATAATACATAGAGACAAGTAGACGATATTAATAGTTTTCGATAAAAAATCATCAGAACTAATTGAAAAAAGTAGAGATCAGTTCCTCTTCTAGTAATATTCCAAATTAGTAGCAATCAAATAACTATCTATATCAATAAAGTATGGAAAAGCTCGGTACAACAAAAAACAATCTGTACAACGAAAATGAATATTCTCAATTTCAACATCGTAATAAAAAATAAAATCTTAAAATAAATTTGTAAGCACTAGCTATATTGATTTGAATGTATCGAAGTATGTTCGACACTCGAATGATATCAAATATGAAGAAGCAGATATATAAATATGTTTTTGACCTGAAGATGGTGAAAACAGAAAGTATGTCGTTTAGAGTAATACGCTAAAAACAGCTTGCTGGCAGCAGATTGTTCTCACGATTTTCTCTTCCATATTTTAATAAGCAATCGATAACGAATCATTAGGTATATATTCTTTAACAAAGGAATAAGAACTTTGTTCATGTTTATTCCTTTTAACGAGCAGAAAAAAGAAGTCGATAAGACGGACTCATTCAACTTTATATTCCCTCTGTATTTCCCATAATAGATTTTTCAAAGACTGTTATTTACAGTCTCATCATTACTAAAAAAAAGTTGAAAAATAATTTTCTCTGAGTCGAATGCATCAGAAAAAATGATTGAATCTTCATCATTAAAGAACAAGTTCTAAAGCTCTGTACAATAACAAAGATATATATATAAGGATATCGAATATTGTCAATGTTAGCATCGCAATAAAAAATAAATGCTTAAGAGAAATTTTTAAGAAGTGACTTTATCAGTTTGAATATATTGTCGTCTCTGTGTTTGATAATCGAATGATATCAATTACAAAGAAACATAGATATCAATATTTTTTTACTTTCAAGAAGATGAAAAGAGAATGTATATCTTTTAGAATATTACAATAAAAACTATTTGTTTGCAGCAGATTGTTCTGATGATTTTCTCGTCGGAATTTTAATGAACAATCGATACCGAATCATTAGCTATATATTCTTCAGCAAAGAATAAGAACTTTCTTGATTTTTATTCCTTTTAAGGAACAGAAAGGAGAAGTCAACAAAACACACTCATTCAACTTTACATTTGTTCAATATTTCGTATAACTGATTTTTTGAAAAAATGTTATTTTCAGTCTCATCAATACTTGGAAAAAGTCGAAAAAAAATTTCATATAGTTGAATGCGTATAAAAAATTAATTCAATTTTGATCATTGATGAAAAATTCTAGAGTCCTCTACAATAAAAGACATATGTATGAGAAAAATGAATAATTTCAAATTCGACATCGCAATGAAAAATAAAAGCTTAAAATCAATTTTTAAGAAATAGTTATATTGATTTGAATGTCTCGAAGTATATTCAATAAGCGGATGATACTGAATATAAAGAAACAGAGATATCAATAGTTTTTTTATTTTTGAAGTAGATGAAAACCGAATGTGTATCGTTTAGAGTATTTTCGATAAAAAGTACGTCTTTCGAGCAGATTATTCTGATGATTTTCTCGTCAGAATATTGGTAAACAATAGATAGCAAATTATAACTTCTTTAGTTTTCAATAAAGAATAAGAACTTTCTTCATTTTTATTCCTTTTAAGGAACACAAAAACAAGTCGGTAAGACACACACACATACAACTTTACATTCGTTCGGTATTTCACATAACAAATTTTTCAAACAATGTTGTTTACATTCCCATAAATAGTTGAAAAAAGTGGAAAATAGTTTTCCGTTGAGTCAAATTCATATAATAAAAAATAATTTAATTTTCATCATTTAAGAATAAATTCTAAAGCTCCATCCAATAAAAAAAGTATATGTACAAGGAGAATAAATATTCTCCATCTTGACATCGCAATGAAAAATGATTCCTTTAAAAAATCTATAGTAATTAACTATATTGATTTGACTATATAGAAGTATTTTCGATACTCGAATGATATCGATTATAAAGTAATAGAGAGATATCAATATTTTTTAATTTGAAAAAGATGAACAGAAAATGAATATTGTTTAGAACACTACGATAAGAAATATTTCATTCCAGCAGATTGTTTTAATATCTTTCTCGTCAGAATGTTTATTGGCAATCGATAGCAAATCATTAGCTATGTATTTTTCAATGAAGAACAAGAACTTTTTTCATGTTTATTCCTTTTAAGGAACAGAAAAAGAAGTCGATAAGATACATCCAGTCAACTTTACATTCGCTCTGCATTTCACATAATAGTTTTTTTTGAGCAATGTTCTTTCGAGTCTCATCAATACTTGGAAAAAGTTGAGAATTATTTTCGATGAGTCGAGTATATTTTAAAAAAAATAAATGAATTTTTATTATTGAAGAAAAACTTCTAGATGTTCATGCAATAAAAAAAAATATGTATACATATATATAAGGATACTGAATATTCTCCATCTCGACATTGCAAAAAAATAAAATCTTAAAGTAAATTTTTGAGATATATATTGGTTTGAATAGATGAAAGTACGTTCGATAATGAAACAATACTGAGTTCTAAAAGTAGAAACAGATATCACTGTTTCTTTAATTCAAAGAAGATAAAAACTGGAACGTATTTGGATTAGAATGCTATGATAACAAGTTCTTCATTGCTACAGAATATATTGATGATTTTATCGTCAGTATTAGAGTAAAAATCAATGGAGAATCGTAACCTGTATACTATTCAATAAAGAATAAGCACTTTTTCCATTTCTATTCGTTATAAAGAACAGAAAAAGAGAAGTTGGCAATTTTCTACTCGAAATTAAATATTGACCTTCAAAATCATCGAAAATTCGAATAAAAATTTCATAGTTTACCCAATTAACAGTTTCTTACGCTAGTAGCATGATCTTAACATCAAGATATCTATATCAATAGACGATATATGTCTAAAATAGATGAAATTCCGTTGAAAATAGTCACTTTGACACGGAGACAAACATAATCTCTCTTACATTTCTTAAGTTCAACTTTGTTCGATATAGATCGATAAATTGAATCATTTTGATATCACGATAGAAAACATTTTCATCCATTTCAATCATTTTCAAAATGAAAAAAGATGAAATGCAGATATTCCGACACTTAGTCTACTAGATAGATCCTTCGCATAATTCAAAAAAAAAATTTACAATAGACAACTCTGAATTAATTCAATTTTCAATGATTTCAGCCATTCCACCGCTCCGAGCACCTGTTATCGATATTCATCCAAATGCTCGATGGCAACAAAATGGTATCACTGTAGCTGGAGGAAATGGAAATGGCAATGGAATCAATCAACTCTTTTACCCATATGGTTTATATGTTGATGATGATCAAACAATTTATGTTGCTGATCAATACAATCATCGTATTGTGGCATGGAAATTGGGTGCAACGAGTGACCAAGTGGTTGCAGGTGGAAATGGACAAGGAAGTGGAGGTCATCAATTGTCTTACCCAATAGATGTAGTTGTCAACAAAGAGAGAGATAGTTTCATCATCTGCGATCATTCGAATAGAAGAGTGATTCGATGGCCTCGTCGAAATGGAACAAGTGGTGAAACAATCATCTCCAACATCTCTTGTGTGGGTTTGACAATGGATGAGAATGGATCTCTCTATGTTGTTGACAATGGAAAAAATGAAGTGAGACGATATCGAAGAGGAGAATCTCAAGGAATAGTGGTTGCCGGTGGCAATGGAAGAGGAAATCATCTCGATCAACTCTCTTCCCCACGATACGTATTCGTCGATCGAGATTATTCAGTATATGTGTCTGATTATGGAAATGATCGTGTGATGAAATGGATGGAAGGTGCAAAACAAGGTATTGTTGTGGCTGGTGGTCAAGGAGAAGAAAATGGTCTTACACAATTGTCATATCCTCGAGGAGTCGTTGTCGATCAATTGGGCACTGTCTATGTGGCTGATGAAGGGAATCATCGAATCATGCGTTGGCCTAAAGGAGCCACACAAGGAAGTGTCGTTATTGGTGGAAACGGTAGAGGAGGACAATCGAACCAATTCAATGGACCCTTCGGTTTGTCATTCGATCGACGAGGCAATTTCTATGTCGTCGATAATGAAAATCATCGAGTACAAAAATTCAATATCGAATCCAATAAATAAATAAAGGACAAGTAACTTTAAAAAAAAAATCTTTGTATACCGTGTTCTTTTTTTCAAAAAAAAATTCAAAAAAATAAATTTCATTAATCACTAAGAAGACGAAGAAACTCGAACCCAGGAGCCCGCTACGCCGCCCTATTTCAAGGATTGCGAAACCTTGGAATCCTTGAAAAATCCAATATTTCCAAATCATTAAAAATCAATGAAAAACATTGCAGATCTTCGTATTTCGATGTTCTAGAAATAGCCTGACGTTGTGAAACATCTAGAGAATCGTAGAATGACAGAAAATCCTTGAAACTCTCACAATTCTACGGCTTTGAGAAATCTTAAACCCTAGAATTGAAGATCGAAGTAAGGATTCTAAGGATTCCATGAGTTAAAATTTTGTGTTGCCTTCAGAATAGTGAAGTGCATGGTGGCATTTATCAGAATCAAGGAATCGCTAGACATTCAGCAATCTAAATCCTTGAAACCCTTGAAATCCTGATGGTTCCTATGTCGATCTCTAAGCATGTCAAGCGTTAGTAAGGATTCACAGGATTCCATCACTGGAAACGTTGTGTAGCCTTCAAAAAGGTGAAAGTTATGATGATATGTATCAGATTCAAAGAATTTCAAGACATCAAACAGTGGGAATCCTTGAAACCCTAGAAACCTTAAAGGCTTCCATGCCGATCCCTAGGCATGCGAAACTTAAGCAAGGATTCCATGATTTGAAACCTTGTCTAACTTTCAGAATAGTGAAGATCATAATCGTGTCCATCAGATTCAAAGAATTCTAAGACATTCAACAATGGAAATCCTTGAATTTCTCCAGGCTCGTGTAAACATACTGATTCATCAAACGTCAGGCAAGAATTGCAAGGATTTCGTCACTTGAAATGTTGTGTAGTTCTCAGAATGGCAAAACCCATGAGGAGGTCTATTATGATTCAGAGAATTATGAGACATTTAGCATTTGTGGACCTTGAAAGTCTCTGGAAATTCTATTGTCCATTTCAAAATATAGTGCACGCCACTGTTTTTTGAATAACTTGAGAACGCAAGCAGCTAGAGACTTGCGATTTTCACCAATCGAAAGAGGAGACCGTGGGTCGTCTTTTTGCTGTACAGGGTGTCCCATCACCTTTGTCTCCCCCTCTAGCAACTTCAATTGTAAATGATATTACAAAGTATTATATACGAAATTAAAGCGCGTCAAAAACTGGATTCATTGGTACTACATAGTCAAGGTTATGAAGACTTTTTAATAAGACATTCTCAGAAATTTTATTCTTTTTTGCTGTAGAAAATTAAGGTGCTAGTAATTCAAAAATGGAATAAACTTTTTTTCTTGAATATTTTTACATGATTCGATAGAGCTCGTCGAGCTCTACAAAACTATATACTTTAAAAAAATGTTGAGCCATCTGTTTGAGACAAAAAATTCAAAAAACTACTTGGAAAGTCTTAAAAATCTCATTTTGGGTGTCGATGTGGGTGTGGGTGGGTGTGGGGTGTGGGGTGTGGGCGTGGGTGTGGGGTGTGGGGTGTGGGTGCGGGCGTGGG